ATATTCTCTCTCTCTCTCTCTCTAAATTCAAAATTATAATATTCTAATATATATAGAATCTTAATATTTATTTAAATATTATTTTTATCTAAATATTTCATAATAAATGTTGGTTAAAAATACTTTTAAAAATTTTATTTTTATCTTCAATTAAATGAATAAACATTATATATTTTTTTAATTAAAGATAATTTAAATCATGTTTAATCAATGTGTGAAAAAATAATTTAAAATTTAAAAAAATATTTCTAGCATATTTCAATGATAGAATTGATAACAATAAATAAACGAAAAAAATAAGCATGCAAGTGAATTGTCATATAATATAATTAGAATATATAATATATTACTTTGAATATAACTATTACTTTGCAAAAACTGTGAAAATTATCACAAAAAATCACCTCAGGTGTAAGAAGGAAAGACATATGATTGTAGTGGAAATTCTCATTCATTAAGCAAGCAATCTCGTCCGTGTAAATTCGCTGGCAAATAAGTTCGTGAATATCTGGCAAGCAAATATTATAATGAACGAGACTGACACAACGCACCGTCTCCATATTATGCACCAGTTGAAATAACGTTTTGTACCTGCCATGAAAAGTGAAAAAATTGATAAATACAATATAAAATATTTCATGCGGAAAACAATGCTTACTCTTCCTTTCGTTGTATATCAGTATTTTTGTCCTTGAAACGCATCCATTGAAATTTCACGATATAGTCGCTTCTGTTATAAATCGTCAAGAGTTTGCTTCTAGACAAACCTAAATATGTGTCTTCCATTCTGATACTAGCTCTATCAATTCGAATCGTGCAATTTATTGCCAAGCTCTGTAATGTTAAGCAAAGCTTCTCTCCTGTAATTTACATTGTATATATTATACATAAATTAATATTTTTAATGCAAAAATTATTCTTATAAACAAGTAAAGTTATGTTTAACATTCATTTTTACACAGTTAATTGCTTGTCAATACCTGATTCATAATTAAGAAAAAGATTTGCTTTGAATTCGCCAGATTTCTCAGATAAAAAATTTGCAGTAAATTGCATCGTTTCTTCTTCCTCTAATATACCCTTTGACGGCTCAACAGAGAAACTTGGACTGAAATAGTAATATATTCAATTACACACACAGACACACACACACACACACATACAGGATGTTTCAGACCACCCGTATCACTCATTTAAAAACTAGAGAAGTAGTTATTTCAAAAAAGTAAAAACATTTTCTTTATAAATCGGGTGCACTTCTTGTAGCTTACCTCGAGAGCTTTCCAAAACACTATAATAATAATAAATTATTTTTCCATGAAATACTTTTCGAGTTATGAGGCTTGAAATCATTTCTTAATTTTACATAAACCATAAAATATCTTGTAAAATATTCATTTTTCGATTCTCTTACTTTAATACTTTTATATATAAAATAATGAAAGGAACCGCACCCGATTTATAAAGAAAATGTTTTTACTTTTTTGAAATACCACTTCTCTAGTTTTTAAATGGGTGGTACAGGTGGTCTGAAATACCCTGTATATATATAATTCTACGTATATAATTCTATATAGATACTATATAAATACTGATCTCTTATATATAAATCACTTTCCGTGTACTTATTAATTTTGTTTAAAGCATTTTAGAAAAATATAAGATATTTAAAAAAGTTTCTTTATTTTGTATATTATAATTTATATAAATTTAAGTATAAACATTTTGTTATAAAATTGTTTAATCAAACATTACATACTTATCTGAATAAAAGTTGAAGATTGCCGGTATATCTCCTACATTGCGTACTAAAATAGTCTTTGAGGAAGGAATTTTTACCGCGGTAGCTGGTATTTCGATCCGATCAGGGATATCTAGAATAGGTCTCGAGCCGATAGCTAGAACAATATTAATTTGACCTGTATTATTCCGCATTATAATGACCATATGTACAATTTCATTGTTTGTATAATAATTACAATTGCACATTGTATATATAATAAATATATGTATAAATAATTTATTTCCTCACCGATTACCGGCACCGCGAAAATTTCGGTATCATTAATAAACTCGACACGATATTCGTAGTCTCGTTTTTCTGCCGGGTTAAATCTAACGTTATAAACGTGAACGAGTCCTGGCGCTACCATAGTGCTATAATTCAATCCGTGATATTCCACGGAAAAGAAGGGATCGGGATTGCGTGAGAGTTTTAAGTGTCGGGATATCTGTGATGTGACATTTGAAAAGGGATTTTTCGGGGTTAAATTCGTAAATATTACAACTTGAAACATAACATATAATTTGAATGGTCTATTATGTATTAAAATTTTAGAGTAGAAGAGACTTTTACTTTTGTTACGTTCCGAATTGTGAGCGTCATATTGTATACATTGCCGGGAATGAATTGTTGAAAGAGAACAATGCAAGGTGTAGCCTTGAAGCATTGGCTTTCACAATTGTTGTATAAAGGCCGTACGTTTATACTGCGACCTGGTTTCAGTAAATAATCGACCCTTTCCTGAGTGCTCATCAGCATCTGTTTGATATATTCCGAGGGAGTCATGTCATACTGTAAGGACATTAATGGAATTGACAAACATTATATATATAAAAGAGAGAGAGAAACTTTCTCTATATAGAAATTCTACATTTGAAACTAACTTGTTGTTCTCTCTGATGGCATGATTTTATGTCTATTAAAGCCATAAATATCTCCACAGAATTGTGTATGATTGGGTAACATGTAGTCAGATTTTTCTTCTCCTTATCCATTCTTTATTTTAATATTCTATAAAGATCTTATTATACTTCTCTCTTTTTTCTCTATATAAAGATTTTATTGATTACTAATAGAAATTAAAATATCGGTTATTAATCAAGATTAATATCATTGATACGCACTGAAAATAGTAGAATATATTACTGATCTGATGTCTAAAATCGATTTGTCGATTTGATTATTTTGTCAGTCTTATTTAAGATTGAAAAAAACATATTTCAAAAAATACAAATCGAAGTATATATAAACTTTTCTTGTATATGGATTTATATATAGAATATAATTATTTTTAATATAGTTATGTTCAAAAAGGCAGAGATATAATAAAATAACATAGTTATGTTAAAAAGTTATAAAAATATAAAATAAATTATAGAATTAAATTATAAATTATACAAAAGTATCTCGTAACAGGAAAAAAAGATAAATAAGATAGATATATAAATAACAAAAAAAAATACGATTTTCTTAAGCAAAAAATCTGAATTTTTTAAATTTCAATTTATTTAATAAAATAAGAATATTTTAATTTTTCTTTTGTATTATACAAATTTTATTTCCACTTTGAAACTACGTATTCCAAATTATTGATTTTATGGTATAATTGGGTGATGCAATTGGCATAAGATTATAACATGATGGGTAAGGATTCTGTTGAATTCCTGGTCGACAGCGATGGATGGAATTGGAATAAATGCTATTTCGTATAGTTTGATTTTCTCGATTTATATCTATTGATGAAGAACCGCAGGAATGCGACAAGCGATTCGCATTACATGCATAGTCCTTTAAACAACATGGCACATAACAACGAGGTGAAGGATCGCATGGCATCTTCGACACGCAATAAGGATCGCAGATTCCTTTTGAACAGCACATCCCCAGACAAGGTCCTAGGGGACATCCTAAAGGAGGGCAGCTTACGTTGCACACTTCGGGCTCGGGTTTTCTGAGATAGAAAAAAGAGAATATTCTATGAACATTCTTCAACTCTAAAACTTCATTTCGAAAATTTTATTTGATCAGATATCTATTAATGAATTATTAATTTTAGCAAACTAAGTATATAAATAGAAGTTGTAAATATATACTTACAAGCTTTCTATTTCACGTATAATATTATACATTTCATTCATAAAATCTCGCCTCTGCTTGCCCATGTTAAATACACTTAAATTTTGTATAATTTTCAATCTCGGCAATTTTATACACTAAAATTTGAAAGATTTTCAATATCGGCAATTTTATACACTAAAATTTGAAAGATAGATATTTGCAAATTTTCTTCTGCTTTTAATAATCGACTTCAGATTATATATCGCTTACTTCATATTTATTTACTTACTCTTTCATCTCACTTACTTATTATTTATCATAATAAGTATATAAAAGTAGTTAATATGTCTATGTTATTTATTTAATTATTTAATTAACATATGAATTCTATTTATATATTTTCCAGGATAAAAATTACTTATTTTGTTAGATTTATTACATTATATTACATTAAAATAGAGAAAAAAAATAAAAAATAATAAATTTATTATTGCAATAAATAGTAAGTTTTGATTTTAGATTTTTACTTATTACACACTTTCAAAAATTGTGAATATTTCTTATGCTTGGAATATACATACAACACAATTATTGCAATCATAAAAATATCGAAAATTAAAATGTTCACGCGAACATATAAAAATATATAATATAAATAAAAAAATATCAAAAGTGAAAAATTGCAAGATATATTTTTATAATATTGACATAAAAATTAAACATGATATAAAAAATAAACATAAATTAAAAAATAATACACTTATTTAGGATTTATCGTACAATTAATTGACTCGTTCACATGACATCATTCACGTAAAAAATACCTTTGTTTTACTTAAATAATTTAAATATAGAAATAGAGATACGAACACATAAATTTAAAAAATCATACATTACAACTCTCTTGCATTATAATGTAATGACTAATTTTGCACTTTTCTATTGATCGAATTGGCTATTAGATGTAAAAGCATAATAAAATATGTATAAAATTATACATTCGTTATATAAAATGAAGAAACATATAAAAAAAAATAATTTTAAAAATTTGGGCATATTCAACATCGAGATACAAAATTATTTTTCGCATAATTCTAATGCACGTGGAATTAAAAAAACTTAAACTTAATCTCAACAGATAAGATTTTTTACGGGCAAATTAAAATATTCTTGGGGGTTGCAAGTGTCTGCTCGCGATTAATTTATCTGGCGATATGACGAGATTGTTAGGGGCGTATTCGGGCTTCCTAGCGAGGTACGTGATACCTCCGATGGTCCTTGTCTCGCGGATTTCCGGTTGACTATAAATATTCGTTCGCTGTATCGTTTGCATATCTACGCGCTTCGTCGGCCCTTCGACATTCGATTTTTCACCGGTATCACCGCCGGCGCGATCGATTCTCACCGCATCCGGTGCATTCGGTCGTTGCACGCTCACAACATCGCCCTGGCCACCATTATGGCCGATTAAATTCTGTCTATTTAGATAGTATTGCTGCATTTGATGGTAATGTTGAGATGGAGCAGCTGCATATTGGAACATCTTGTGGTCGTCGTGGCGTCCTTGCATTACAGGTATATTCTGTTGATTATAAGGACTCGAGCTCGTGTCTTGCACGTAGGAAACTATGTGATCTCGCGGTTGCCATCGCTGTTGATCGTCATTGATCGCCACCGTGCCGTTTTCCTTTTCGGCTTGCATGCTGTAAATTCTTGCATTCTGTCTCTGTCGCGGATATTCCATCATAGCGGGCTCATCGGCTCTCTTAGGTCGCAGGATACATGGCGTAGGATTATTAGGATTCCTTGTGTTCTCCAAACCGTTTACCGAGATTTTTTTTTGAGGTTGTGAAGACATTTCTACGGGTGGTCGCGGTTGCATATCTTCCGGAATCTCGTTAGAATCTTGGACACCGTTTAGTCTAATAACAGGTTTTTTCTTGATAATATTGGCCAGATATTCGAGACCTTTTCTACTTGACGGATTTTTCAGTGTTTCCAGTACTTTTTGTACGGTGTTTGGATCCTGCAAACCGTTATTGCGCTTCTGAGGACGAATTATTTCTTTGTACATTCGCATCTTTAGCAAGCTAGAAGGTTCGGCAGGTCTTTTACTCTGCTCGAAATTTGCAAAATCCATTGATAATCTCTGATTGTCAATTGAATTCGATGAACTTGGATTATGTTCTTTATTTTGCGAAATTTTTTGTTGCTCAGAATTCGAATAATATGGATTATAACATATATTGTATGGTACGTATTTGTTAAAAGTCGGATTTGTCTGATGATTTATATTATTTAATGTATTTTGTTGATGATAAGGATAACAAGCTGCATAATTATTGCACGAAGTCTGATGGTTATTTTTATGTGGCCAGATCATTTGTCGCTGCCATAATTGAGGATTCATTTGAACGTACATTTGTTGAGGTAGAATAACTTGATTGTTTATTTCTTGCTTTTTCTGTTGACAATAATCTTGTTGTCGAGCAGTCACTGTCTTATTAATTTCTTCCGGCAACAGACTGTCCGTTCGATATTGTTTCTTTTGACCTCTTTGCTGTGCCTTTATTCTTTCAATCTCATTATAGGATATCCGTGATGGAGTGATGTGTATCATCCATTCCGGTTTTTCTTCTCTCTCTATTCTTCTTTGTGCAAGTCGAATTTTTTTTATATCCGGAATATCTTCTTGTTGTTGTAATTGCATGAGATAAACCAGATGCTTTTGTTGTTCGTTCAGTAATGCATCAAACTGACGGCGCATTATTTCCTCAGGTACACCTTGTTGCCTCATAGTAGAAACTAACAGCTCCTGATCGCGTATCATATTAGGTGTGAATTGCAGTTTCTTTTTCCTATTTTGATGCGTATGAATTTCCGCAACCGATTGTTGATTAGATTTATAATTTTGTAATGAATTAGATTGATCTTGGCTTCTAGAATCTTTTTCATTGAAATTAGTATCTTGATGATAATATTGCCACTGTTGCGGGAATTGTTGATGCAAATTTGCCGTTTGTATCCATCGATCATTTTGCGGCCATGCTGTGTGTGATTGAGGATTGATAGAATATCCACGATTCTGATTATGAATAGGCAAATTATGTTGTATCGATCTCATCTGATTTACTGTCATGTCTTGTGGCGAAGTCATTCCATGTCCAGAAACTTGCGTAGCAGATAATTGTTGTTGATTGTAATGACCATAGAATGCTCCCGAATTATTATGTAGATGTTGTCGCTGATCGAACATTGGTGATTGCATTTGATTGAGCCCTTGCGGCAACATTTGCTGATGATACACGTTGTGCTGCGTTTGTTCATTTATTTGTTGAGAATTTTGATGAACTGAAGGATTATGCGATTGAAAATGATAAACATTTTGATAGTTATTGACACATCGATCACTTAGCGATGCATTTGCGTTCCGTATGATCGCTGCTTGCTTCGGTTGTATAAAAATTTGTTTCTGATTAACTGCGTTTCGGCCATCGCTCGGTTGCTTTTCGCATCCATTAACAAGAGCAGAAGTTTCATTGTGATTTTGATCAATAATCTGCAAATTAGTCGAAGATTGTTGCGTTTGCGACATAACTTACATTGAAGGACTTTGAATGATTACCGGCTGGTTAATAATCGCGGACGGATTTTGAAGCGATCTATTGCAAACGACTGTTCCTTGAAGCATGTTTGATACGAAAGGTTTTTCGGGAGACACAATGGGTCGATTAAGCAAATTTTCAGAGTGTGTACTCGATTGACAGATCTGCTGATGATTAGCTATAATCTGTTGTTGGTCTGTGTCGGATATGCTCTGGGATTAAAAAAACAAATTATATTAATAAAAAGATTAATACAGATATATGTTAAGATATATTCAGTATATGTGTAAATATTTTTTATATTGTTTTTGATATATTATTAATTTATATTTATATTTTTTCATTTTTTATTAAATTAAATCATTTTAATTAATAATTAAACAAGAAAATAACGTCCTATAAATTAACTTAAAATTAAGAAAGGAAAAATCTCTTTAAAATTTACTTTTGATTGTTGATATGACGATAATATAGCAGGTATCACATCACCATGACCGTTATTACTTTTAATAGAGGAGTTTGCGAAGAAAGTGCCAGTTTGCTGATTATCTTGTTGTACAATTAAAGCATCGTTTAGTTCGGGTGAAAACATTGGCTGATTGTCCAATTTCTTGATCTTTTCTGCAGGAAAACTTTTAAGTCGTGGCGAGAAAATTGAATGTGTCTCTTTCAATCTGTCTCGAGAGTTGAATCTGGTTTTTGGAGGTTGCATTTCATCTGGCAACATCCTTTTTCGATCGTTTTTCGATTTCATAAAATTATTTAACGAATACGATTTGTTCAAGTTCTGCACAGACGGAGACTTTATAGATTGCGAATGTTCCTTACGGTTTGTATTGGTAGCTCGTAAGTTTACTACGCTTGGATGTGCAGACGATTTGCATCCAAATTTCTTTTCGATTGAGACTTTCCTGAAAGAAAATTTTTTAGATAGGAAAAAAATTTCTGAATTTATTAATTTAACGTATATTCTTTGGAACATTTTTACTTTTTTTTCATTATCGTTAATTTTGCTTAAATTTGGATAACGCAATACTTGCTATCAAAAAATCATCGTTTAAACTTAATGAGGAAAATTCTCAAATCGGATTTTGCGTTACCGCCGAAAGGAAACCGCGAGTTTTGACATATTAAGAAAAGAGGGACAAGTGCATGACTAGTTACCATGGATATGTTTTGTGTATATATATATTATAACAATATATATATATATATATATATATATATATATATATGTTTATATAAATTATAAATTAATTCCGTATAAATATATACAAGAAAGATTTTATTTATAATTAAACAAAATATGTTAATGTGTAGAATTAATCTTGTTTATATTTTATTTTATTTATAATTATGCAAGAAAACGTTTGATTATCAAGTGTAGCACTAATTGTGGAAAAAGATTTAAGAAATATAGACAATATTTATTTTATTTAAGAATTATGATAAACACATATGTATAATAAAACACATTAAAATTTGTACAATAAGAATATATTTTTATTTTTAATTATAATAATATTAGCTTGCTTACAATTTACAATACATATTCTAAAACAATATGTACATACATGAATATTTTATAATATACCATAAAATTTAATATACAATTAATTTGAATTTATTAAAAATTATTTCAACAGAGTAACACAAAATTTGTTGCTTTTAATAATATTATGATTTTTTAGTCAAGAATTTAGTTATTTATTTTATATATGTTAATTAATTTCTTCTTCAATGAAATTTTTTAAGAGAGTTGCGATAATATCTTTCTCTTTGAAAAAAATAGATATTGTACATTTTTTTATCCCAATTCATAGCAAATTATAAAAATAGATTATGAATGATTGATTTTACTATTACTTCACGTTTTCTACGTTCCTTGTAAATAAAAGAAGATATTTTTATATTCTAAATTTTCATTAAGAACATTGTACACATAATACGCAATAATTCATGAAAATAAGAAATATGTTAAAATAATTACAAATATTATTTAAATCTCTATTTAACAACTTTTAAAATATATATATATATATATATATATATACATTTTATATAAAATTTTATAGAATATTAACAATACTTACTTTAATAAATATCATTACAAAAATCCATAATTTTTAATTTTATAACTGAAGTGTATCATTTAACAAGTTCGTATTTTTTGCTGTTTGCATAAATCATGACGCATCTTTGCATGCAGTTGCATAATTATCAATGATTTGCCAATTAGAGAACTTTTTTAACAGGCGGGACAAGATCTGACAATTCTGTGAAATGAGAAATTTACATTAATCTTAACAATAAATTCTCTAAAGAGAGAAATATGATAATAGCCTTACGACCAAGTATTTTGCAAGATGAGCGATTCATGGCTATCGGTTTTGAAGTATCGGTTTTAGGTAGATTGCAAGGGACATAATTCGTTTTACAAACGTAAAAGCAAGGTGACGAAGGGAGTGATGAGGACGGCAAATATGTTACTTCCATTTTCAGTGGATTGGACATGGGACAGCTTGGCAAATAAACCTTTCAAAAAAATTTTTTTAGCTATCTTTTATTTCAAGAAAATAATTATTAGCTTAAAATAATCATGTATATTAATCTCAAATAAATAATTTTAAAAATGTGTATGTGTCTTGTACATATTTTATATGAGATAAAAATATTATCATGTATATAAATGTATGTATTATATCTTAATCTACATAAGATAACAATAAAAATTAAACTCGAAATTAAAATATAATTGAAAAATTGCTGAAAGTAATGTACGAGATATACTGTGGCATGATGATATCTGTTACAAATAAATTTTATCTTATCACAAGTACAATTTGGTATAAATTAAATATGAATATTTTTAATAAAATATTTTGATAAATTTTTCTATAATATGCACGTACAGTAATTCTATTTAAAGAAGAATTGTAAAGAAAATAGAAGTTAGTATTTCGCATAACAAACATACCACAGCTTTAATTGGTTTCGGTGCAGACTGAGGCCGACAAGCTATCCTACATTGAACACGGGGCACGTAAGGCATGCAGGGATAGCTCACAGGTGGAGTACAACAAATTACAGAGCATGGGATCAGACATGTCGGTAAACAGCAAGGCGGTTGAGAAACACTCAAACTGTAACAATTTCTGGAATTTAATATACGTACGTTATCATACATTATTGAAAATCCAAGATAATAATTTACAAAATAATAAATAAAATAAAAATTACTTAATCAACATTGTGGAAATCAGAAAATTTTTGAATGAGAAATTTTTTTGAGAGGAACATTTTACAATCTTACAATCTTATTTTAATCGATTTTTTTCTAAATTTAATAAATATATGATATTTTTACATATACCATATGTTTATTAAATTTAGAAGAAAATCGACTAAAATATGATTTATATGTGTAAAATTTTTTAAAAATTTCTTACTCAAAGATTCATCCATTTCCATCTTTTGATATGGAATAAAATGATTACAAATGGAGTTATTTATATGAAAGTGGAAATCTAATACACACAATAATAACGCTAGCAAAATATTTGCTACAGCATGCAATCACAATGACAAGGTATTTTCCTGATTAAATCATAATAATAATTTTTTATTAAAATTTACCTTGACATGATGCGCTAAAAATGTTATCTGAATAATATTAATAATTGATAATATTGTGTTTGTTCAGATTTCCACAAATGTAAATTGGTATTAAATCAATGACAACTCGAGAGATAATCACACTTATTTTCGTAAAAATCATTTAAAGTTACTTGGAATTTTATCGGTTGCTGTTCAAAAACACTTGGAAATGTTTAAAGTCAGTTTCTCATGATCATGAATCATGAATTGGCTAAAGATTATTTAACAGTAACCTTGGTGACGTAAAATAGATTGGTTTTCGCAGAATAAATTGCATACGGAAATTACTCGGTGATTCCCCTTTTTTTGTTTCAAATTATACAAAACATAGTGGGCATGGATTGCTATTTTCTATAGTAGATATAAGTATTATGTAATATTATTTATCATTGATAGCAAGAAATCTTAGCCTAACTCTATTCGTTCTTCGAATATTGATAAGGATTTGTAAAAGTCATAAACACTTATCACTGTGAGAATAAATAATAAGATAATAATAATTTATAATTTAGATAATATAATTAGCATGATAGGAAATTTAATTATCAAGAAATATTTAATATTAAATATTCAAATTTGTGATGAGTAAAATTTTTTCTGGAAAAAATTAATTCAAAATTTGTGACAGAATATTAGTAATTAAAATTAATGTAAATATAAAAGATAACTGAGACGATATTAAGCAAATATAATGATTATAAGCAGATATAATGTAGACAAACTCTCTCTAGTCAACTAATTTGCATAATTTGTAAATGCGTTATGTTAATTCGTCAACCGTGAATAAAAACACTATGTTAACTGCGGATTTGATTATTTGATAAACAACATTTGCATACTATTGATGAAAAAGTATTCAGTCTAAATCAGGCTTTAATCGCTAGTGGAAATCAATTTCCTCATAAATGTTTGACTTTAGATAAAAGGATTTCTTTTATAGAGGATAAACTATCACCGCATGTTCAGGTTCGACAATGCTCTCGATACACATTCAGCTGATACATTCCAGTAATGGTTCGCGAGTTCGACTAAAAGGCCTTTAACAAAAGCAACGCCGTATCTTTGTCGCAATATCTGCATTCAACAATAGATAATGATTTTGACACTGCTGGGCTGGAATAATAAATAGATGTAACGTAAGCAAGAGATAACACAAATGTGGTTTAGATATTTCGTTATTGTTAAGATGAAATAATCAAATTTTATTTAATAAAATTTGCATATTTTTTAAAAATATGCAAAATAAATTTACATTAAACATATAATAGAATACAATTGCATGTTTCAAATTTATAGTTTATTAATAGTTTATTATAATTATATTTCAGCGCTTATTTATTTATAGAAATTTTTTCTTAATTATTATTAATACATGTGTTTGTGAATAACGCTACTAAATTCATGTAATTTTATGTGGTAAAAAAAAAGTAAAAATTCACATACATATTATTCAAACTATATTTATTATGAAATACATGTTTTTATGTAATACCGCGATGAATGAGTGACCGCAAAATGACGGTTCGTATATCTCGCTACGCGAGATTAATATGTATAATACATGAATTAAACAAGGCATTAGATTGATAAGGAACCGACTAGGTCACGCAGAATCCTGGTCCATTCGGCGGCTGGGCGGGAATACCGCGTCTATTCATGCGGCAAGCATGCTCTTCTAGACGTTTAGCGGCAACATTATTTTCTTGCTTGTTGAAACTCCATAAACGTTCGGCTGCCGCGCTCGCACGTGGCCAGATTCTCGAGTGCACATTATTTCTAAAAATAAACAGCGGCTAGACACGAAAGCTCGACGTACATTCATCTCGAAGATCAAATAAAGAACTATCTACACTTTATTTTGTTGTTAATGTGTTGTCGTAAATCATTAGAAAGATTATTTTTATATAAAAAGTAATATTATATAGAATTATTTGCAAATTCTTGTTAATTTAACTGAAAATCTTAACTTTAATAGCACATTATGGTAGTTGTAAAAGTAAAATACAAGATTATTTTCGCTACTATCGTCCAATTAATTATTTATTCATAAGATCTATTCATAGATTTTTGTATACAAGCGCTGTTAAAAACCTAGAGAGTAGATATACTCACTTGTTGACAAATTCTGCCCACATGCAGGCTTCGCCGCCGAGCATTAAATGAGTGGCATTGGCCGCATTAGCAAAGTCAAAGGGATTGCAATTGTAATACTTCTCCCAATCACCGCCGCTAGAGAGGTGATCCAAATACCAGCAAGATGATAGCAAGACCGGATGTCCTGCGATCGTCACTCTCTCGAGCTCCTTTTGCCAACTCGGTATTTTCCAAACATGCACTACCGTAGTTGTGGGTAGAACGACGCCATTATCGAAAACCTATAAGTTGTGTAATTTGCGTATATAATAAAATAATTTAAAAGTGAAACTTTAATATGTAATGATAATTATATGTACAGGTATTAAATTATTAGTTGTAAAAAAAAGTAAGAAAAAATTACAGAAAAAACACTTACTTCTTGCCATACGATAGTATTGGCATCCAACGATTTGCTGATCGCGAGTATCTTGGCTATGTATTGGTTTTCGAGCAGCTCGTATCTGTTGGACATATTGTGCGCTTTCATGTAGTCGCCAATTTCCGGATTGCTGCCCCAGCAATCGAAGGGTACTTCGTCACCACCCAGGTGGAGATATTGATCCGGGAACACTTGCACGATCTCGGAGAACAAATTTCGTATAAAGTCGTATAGCGCCGGATTCGTCGGGTTCATCGGACCTAATTTACCGTTCGGTTTCCTGGAAGAGTCTGACGGATATACAAACTTATTAATTAATTTATATAATTTATCAAAGATATTAATAGATTTAACAGCTGATTCTTCCATTTTATTTGAGTTTAATATTAATAATATTTAACAAAAAAATAAAATAATATTTAACAAAAAAGAATATAAAATAAAAATATACATCTAAACTACATTATCTGTCAACAAAATATTGTACTAAAAATATTCCAAAAATATCACAATTAATATAAATTATTATTTCATTTTATTTACCATAACATATAGTTAATAATTCCGGATGAGCCAAACCCCATGATCTAGTATGTCCAGGTGTGTCGAATTCAGGCATCACTCGAATCCCTCGTAATCTTGCATAATCGACGACTTTCTGTACATCGTTAGGTGTATAGATCATTGTTTGATGGTAAGCGCCTTTAGCGGATAGATCGGGATATCTGGTACTTTGATATGGGAAGCTATTATCGTCGACGATATGCCAATGGAGAACATTCAATTTGTTGTACGACATAGCGTCCAGTGTTAATAGGATGTCAGACAGGGGTAAATAATGGCGAGAGGTATCCAGTAAAAGACCGCGATGCGGCAGTTTCGGTTCATCCACGATAGTCTGACATTTTACTTTCAACTGTAATGCACAATTAAATTCACGACTTTTATTTAAACTAATTCAATACAAACGCGAATTATCTGTACAGAAAGAAAAAAGAAGAGAATTGATAAATTGATAAAAATAAGCTTATAAACACTGCATTCTGAAAATTATTTTTTTTCAACAAATTATTTACATGCATGTTAAAATGAATTTAGAATATTTTACACCTTTGTATTTTACGAAGAATGATAAATATTTAAATATTTACGCTCGCGCCACCGGATGGTGCCAATATTTGTGAGAAAGTCTCAAGGCCTCGAAGGATTCCCCAGACGGCTTCGGCTCGAAGAATAGCGACTGATGATGTTTCATTTATCTCGAGTTTATCTGTGAAAAATGTATTAAACCGCGTGAAGAAAAATACGAATAAAATCATAGAATTCTCGCTCACTAATCACTGGTCATGACTTTACATCATTATGACTTACGTCATTTAATTCCACGCGATAAGAAAGAGAAACTAGGAAATAATTTAAAGTTGTCTTATTATGCGTCCTCGTTTCAATCGTTTTGCTGATTACACTATTATTGCACAATTCGCTGGAAATTCTTACACGTGTTTGGTACGCGCGCCACGCGAAATCGTTTTGGTTTAATCTAACTAAATTAAATGTAATTCTCTCTACAATCAGTTTCGAAGATTGAAGTGACGAAGTTTCAAAAATCTCAGTTACATCCAAAGAACACAAGAGAAAATTAAATTATGAAAACTATTAAATTTATTACTATTTATTAATTGTTATAAACTTTACACACAAATATAAAAATATATAAATTTGTACATTTTGTAATTTTCAAGTATATGAATAAGAATATTATATTTTTTTCAGTATAAATATTTCCTGTAACTCTTTAAAATACAAAAAAAATGATTAAAAATTATTTATAATTAAAGCATATAAAAAAAATAATAATTAAATTAAAATCAATTAAGATTATACTCAATTAGAAAAAATAAATATATAATTTCTATTTTTACTGGAATTTTACAATTTAACAGCTTTTTACTGTTTGCTTATTACTATTCATCGTTTGTTTGCCAGTCAATGTATTGTGTAATACACAAAAACTTTCAGGAATCACCGAATCATTGTTAAACCGGTTTAACATCGTGTTGATAAGAGGAGACGTTATTAAAAGCCGGAAAAATTTAATTTGCGCACACGCAAGCCCGTTATCGACATAAGTCTGCGAATGTTAGGTCGAAGCTACGAGTGAGCTGCACTGGCATCATTCAATTAATTTGTTGGTGCACTATTACTTTATAATGCACACTGTACATGCAAAGCGAGCAACCTCACTGGTCGCTGCACACGCAACATTCATCCGAATCATAAATTAATACATAGTACAAAAGGAAATTTTTGCAGTTTTTTCTTCAGTTATTTATTCAACAATTAAGCAATAAAATTTATCTGTTTTTAAAATGCCCATAAAATATTAAACATTTTCTACAATTTAACCAATATAATTACTTATCATACAAATTAATCATAAAAATTAAAAAGATTATGTCTAATATAATTATATAGTAAATATAAACTTACAAGATTCATTCATGTACAAATGTGGCCAATGATCGCCATTCTGTTCGCAAGGTTTTAAAAGACGGATGCTTAGGGCTTCAAGAGTGCCTTTAAAATGGGGATCATCCCGAACGGATGTTCTTGGCTGCCCTTCCGTGACTAACCTCGCTATCCTTGCTTCCGTCAAGATGATTCTCATGTACCGTTCAATCGCCTCGGTTATTATATCGCATGTCTCGCCATTTACCTTTGCAAAAATTAGTGTTACTTAAAACGAGACAAAGTCAGAATATTTTTATAAAATTCTAAAAAGCATGTAAAATAATGAATAGAAACTCTAAAGAGAGAATAAAATTTTTTTCATATTATTTAGAAATATATAACAATAATAAAAAAGATATACAATGTTACAAGAAATAAAATAAAAGAGAAGACAAATCATAGAAGCCAAAACAGTTACTACTATAAAACCTATAAAACGATTACTATAAATCGATTAAAGTTCTATTAAAACTTTCCTCTTTTAAAAATCCCACAAAAATAATTTTATTAAAAAACGACCGCTTCACGAGTACATGCAAATTGCACGCTATTTTATTGTCGCGAAAATACGATAAAGTTGAAAATAACAAAATATTGTCAATTCTAATCTTATAAAGATATAAAAAGATCTGAATTGATTAAGAGTTTATTCTTTGCATTGGATGAAAGATAAATTATATTAAAAAAGACCAAAAATAAAACTCACTCGAATATCAAAGTTCGATGGTCGCAATAGATAGAAGTCTTCTTTTACCACGCGCGAATTTGGCATGGGCCAGACTTCGCCTTTCGTGGCTTCAAACCATGGACCCGCGTCCGCATGCCACAAGCAGGCTACCCAGGGCGCGGTGGTCACCAGGATCAGAAAGATCGCGCGACTCCACATGTTCGTCTCGCGTCAGAGAAAGCAATTTAGCACGATCGAGAAACGATGTGACGCCACCGAGTGGTCATCGTCTACTGACGATCGCAGGATGCTGCAGAACCGTACGCACGTATGCATGATAGTGGTAACGACCTTAGCCTGCGTCACTTAAGTTTTATCACTTTGGTCCCTGAGAGAGCTTCACGGTCAAGTGGGAATAACCAGTCTTCGTTTAATCGCTGCAATCTCCATTTATCCTTAAATCTTTGACTGCACATTTTCGAAAAATCTTGTACATGTATACTATGTATACATGTACATTCGACAATGAGCCAATTAATTTTTAATGATCTTAATTTCTTAGCTTGTGAAGAAACTGATGAAGAAATTAGAAAATTTTTCAATTCTCAAATTTTTGGCTCTTTTATGTTTTTTCATTTTGCAATACTTTTGATATTCGTATTATTAGTCTGTGATTGTGCTATGCATATCAGTTAGATTCAATTTATCTCTGTATTTCTTCGTCATTTTTGAATAATTATCATTAATAGATAAGCGAATAATATATGTATTTATTTATTAATAAGGTTAAAATGATTTTATGAGGTCTGTTTGTTATTTCTGCACTGAAATTCGTTCAAAAAGTACACTAACATGTTTTTGAGGAAATATCGATAGAAAGCTGTCAAATAAGGACTAATCTTGAAGTTGATATTTTGTTTTTATTTATCTTCATATACATATGTATACATACATACACATATTAAATCAATCTATTCTTTATGTCAAATAAAAGTTACACAGGATTTAAAAACATTTATTAAAAAATACATTTGTCAAAGTAATTTTTCATTGATTTTTTAATATTATTATGAAAATAATAACATGATAAGATTACATAAATATTACAAAAACACTCTTAAGTTATTGCGACATACAACATTAATAACATAAAGCTTAATCTTTAAAAATCTTTAATCTTGAATTCTATCTATATTTGCCTAATCTTTTATCATGTTTATTATATTATTTAAATAAAAATCAATTAATTATCTTTAAATGTATTTTGTTATCTTTAAAAACATATTTGTGTTGATAATATCTTATACTATTCTTCAGTAAAATTTTTAATGGTATGATAAAAAGCGTATCATTTAAATCTATTTTGAAAAACATTACAAACATACAACATATGTAATACATTGTTTGTTAGATGTCATATCTTTAAATGTTTAAACGCACGATAAAATTTGTTTTGCTTATTAAACGTTCCATTTGTTTCATTCCACAGAAAAATTTGATAGTTTATCGATCGCGTATATTATTTATAAGTGATACTAAATATCTTGTGGACAAGAAGATCGCTTTATCACAACTGTGTCATTATCAAACGATTTAACAGAAAGCTACAAACAGTCAAGCGCAAAGGTCATTGGTTTCATGATTGCTCCGACATCGACGTCGATAAATTATTATTATAGATATAGCGATCAATTATTCGATAATATTCATAATAATTTTACTGATTTTATAATTCTTTCATTTAATATCATACATTACACAAAAATGTTTAATTAATCCTTTACATAATTCTTCCATATCTAAAAAATGTAAATCAATTCGATAGATTAGTTGCAATTATATTCGATAATAAAAGTAAAATAAGAGTAGTATAAGATATGAAAAAAAATCAAAAATTACGGCTCTAACTTTATGTTTATATTTATTCAATGTTTATATTTTATCAATTGAATCGATTAATTTTCTTTCTCGAAATGCGATGAAAATAAAAGATTCTATAGGCAAATAACTATAATGACATATAATCACGAAAACAATCACATTCAGAGTAAAGCGCACATAATATGAAGTTACATTTATTAAGTACTCGTGAAGAACACTTTGATATGGCAATTATAATGTCATGTTATTAATATCATGAACTTTGATTACACGTTTGTTGAATATTCGCTGTTTATCTGTAATTTTTTTTTAGTAAATCCAAGTCAATTCTCTAAATTCAATAACTCATTTTAGAATTTTCGTGATTTTAATGCATAGATGCAAATAAAAAAAGTATTCTTACTGAGAAAGTATACAATATTAATAAATTAGAAAATTGCTATAAGAAAATATATATAACCTTTGATCTCTCTTTCCCTCTCTTTGTCTTTAAATTAATAAAGAAAATTTGTTATATTTTTATATGTCTTTTAATGTCACGTATTGCAAAACAAATTGCAATTTTAGTTACTAGATTTATAAGTACAATAAGATAAAAGATTATAAATTAACATGCTAATGAGCAGACAGAAACAAGTGTTAATTGACCACGCAATAAATCGTAAATCTTTTTTCCAAGAAATAACAACTCGTATCATAATTCTATACTAGTACTACTTTCATTACGTCAGAGAGACTGCCTTAATCTAATTCTGTCATGATACGCTACTGCTCGGTGAATCGTAGCTTCATTGATTGCGACTCTCGTACGCCGGGTCGACGGTTGTCAGGGGGCGAAGGGAGAAGAAAATCCAAATGAACGTGCATTCAGGGTTGGACTATAGGGTCAAAGTGCCCTAGAGAGGCTTCCGTTTTGGTAACGCTTTCTACACGAAACCATTTTCATTAAAAATTACTGCAGCAACATGCGATAATAAATCTGATTAAAATGACTTCAATAAAAGTTAGCATTTCATATATTTTTTAGAGCACGTTTAATAAACATTTCTTGAATATTAAATTAAAAATTTTATAAAATATGGTAGTTTTATAATATTATGATATATACAGCAATATTCAAAAAAAGGAAATATTGATTGTATGATAAATTAATATTTAATTATTAATATCACACACATACAATCTGCTCTTTTAAAACTGCATTAAATAATTCATGTATGTATTCTTTAAAATAATTTTTACAAATATGTATTTTATGATAAAATATAAACTTATTTAGTCATATATCATATTTTACAGATCCATTGTTAATATTTTTTAAATATTGAAACAAGATTTGTCGTCAATTTATCTTAACTAGTAAACGTTTATAAAAGTATAGACCAATTACATTTCTTCGCAATATTAATTATTTTAAAGATTTTTTAAATGTTAATTATTTTACTTTAATTTATTATTTTCTCTTAATACTGACGTTGGAAAATTCTAAAAATTCGGAAATTTCTTTCCAAAGTTTTCCATCTAGTGGCATCGTATAGTTGCATGGTATCCTGCATTTTCGACCACGCACAGATCCGCGCGTGCATCTGCGCGTTGGGAAACCACCCCGAAGGTGGGGCGGCCACCATAGAGAACGTCGCGCCATCGGTAGGGTAGTCAGGAGTGATCAATGGAATGAGAGGTGCAATTGGAAAAGGGGAGGGGAGAATTTTACAGAAAAAAATTGAGCAGGTGATACGCCTCGAGGTGGCATTCATGATGTCTATCGGTGATGCCAACGCTTTTACCTCGATTCCCTGATATCTATATATATACATGCATACACACACACACACACACACACACACACATATTAGCATAAGCGTACGTATGTATGCTCAGTATGATAATGATAGTGACGTTATATGTAGAATATATTCGCGGAGATAGGGACGTGACTCGCGGTGACGTTTCTACGAAGATGGCGCCAATGATGGCAAAGCCGGCAATCGTGCTAGTAGTGGTGGTAGTTGTGGCGGTGGTTGGTAATGGTGATGATACTGATGGTGGTGGTAGGTAAAGGGTGGCCTCTCTTGTGCAATTGCCGGCTAGTATTAGAGTACTCTCTCAGTGCGCGCGTAGCCATCGCGCGCCGTGCCAAAGTTCCTCCTCGTCTCTTCCGCGACTTTCGGTGGTGGCCGGTAACCCATACACACATAAACGCGTCGCCAAACGGGGGAGTAATCTTGGGCTCGCGCAATCGCGAGGGTACATACGTGTGTGTATACGTGTGGGGTGGCTGGCCCGTGTTCGACTGCGCGAACGATAGAGAGATCGAGAGGGAGAGGGAAGGAGACACAGAGAGGGTGGGTAAGCGCGAGGGTGGCGAACGCCGGTGGCGGTAACGACGGCGGTGTCGGTGGCGGCGTCAGTGCACGGAAGTGGCTGTGCTCCGGTAGTGGACGGTGGATAGTGTAGTGCGGTTGGTCGGTTGGATCGGTTAGTCGGTCGGTCGGTGGGTCGGTGGGTCGGTCGCGGGGGTTGATTTGCCGTTCGTCTCGCGTCGCCGTCGCGTTTCACCCGGAGTCGAGTGGAGTCACGTCGAGCATCGTCCACGAGGCGCGAGCGGCGAGACGAGGACGACGGGATCGGAAAAAAGAGAGAGGAGGAAAGAAGTGAAGAGGAGAGAGTGAAATCGATAAGAAGGGACCTTAGGCGCTGGTTTCGCAAAACGGGAACGCCGGTGCGCGACGCATAGAGAGACAGAGAGAGAGAGAGAGAGAAAGAGAAAAAGAGTAGGCGAGAGACAGGGGGGCGATATATATCTTCTCCTGTGAAAGAGTGTGAGTGCGCGGTGCGCCGACGACGAACGCACGCGACGTACGAAAACGACATACGCGCGTGTAGTACGCACGCAGGCGCGGAAGCTGGCACACGAGGGTGGACTTGGGTCCGCGAGAAAGGGAACGTAATCGGCTCGGTTCGTCGACTTGGCTCGCTCGCGAAAGGGCGGTTCTTGGATTCGGAGCGTCGTGACCGGAGGCCGAGGGAGAGAGCGAGAGAGACCGGAAGAGGGAACGGGAGAGGACACGCGAGAGAGGGTTTGTTCGTTCGTTCGTTTGCATTGCGTCGGCTCGGGAAAACAGGAAGTCGGAAAAAGAGGGAGTCGATTGTCTCTCTTTCTCTCTCTCTCCCCCTCGATCTCTATTCGCCCTCGCTCGATGGGCTACGCCATCGAAAGAAGGTCAAAGATCGATCCTCGAGCTGACGAGGGTCGTGACCTCGCCGTACGCCGCCGCCGAGTACGAAGTGATCCACGCGCGTAGTAGTACTATTCGCTAGTAGTAGTACGCCGGCCAGAAACGCGGAAGTTGTACTCGGTGAGGAGAGGTGGTGGGCAGTGGCGTGGGTGGAGAGAAGATCGATCGGGCGGAGGATCATCGTCGCGACGGGGAAGATGAGGTCGATTGACCGGCAAAGAAGGGACCGAACCGACGGTCTTCGTTGACATCGGCGATACTCGAGGAGAAAGAGAAATAAAACTGTCCCGCGACGCGAATAAAGACGAGGACCGATCACGTCCACCTCGTCAATGCTCGTCGTTCGCGAACGCGCTATCGCATGTAGAATAGAAACATCCTCTCGCGTCATCCCGGGACACACCATTATCGTGTCCGCGTCTTGGCGTCGAAGATCACGAAGACACCGAGAGACCGGAAGCGCATCGTCGACACCGTCATCGGCCATAACCGGATGCTGCAGCACGAAGCTGAAAACGAAGCGAAGATCGAGTCGCCCGAAAGGAGGCGATCGTCGAAATTGGAGCCGCACGCTTCCATCCTCCGATTATTACCCTAACTGAATTCTCGGATAGACGGACGGACGTCCCGTCGAACGGGAAAACGCTCATTAACCAGATCACCCATTGCAGCCTGACATGAGCGTAAAAATGTGCGAGAGAGACGAGGGGAACGGCCGCGAGGTATGATGAAGAGGGCACGAGATTAGAGCTCTGGTGATAATCGAATTCGAGAAACGAGCACTGCCGAGAAAGAAGGAGAAAAAAATCACGGAAGGTGTTTATTCAATCGCACAAAGCGGAAGAAACGCTCGAGAAGAAGGAAGGGAGCAAGAAAGAGAAGAAGGAAGAAGTGACTGTACTGACGAGATACTAACGAGACGACACTGACTCGAGACGATCTTGCGGGAACAACAACGAGAAAGAGAAGAGGAGCAGGGTACGGGTTCGCGTAGTACGGGTTTCTCGTATAATGTCACGGGACCCATACTCGAGCAGTGGCGTAGTAGGTCCCGGTGGTGGCACTCGCTCGCCACGCAGCGGTCGTCGCGTAGGCGAACTGCCGACCGTCGACCGTAGTCCGTCGCGTAGTTATGCGAGCGGTCGTGGCAGTCCGCTGGGGGGTCGCAAGCAACGGGGTACACGAAGCGGAAACAACTCGCCCGAGCACCTCGGTTTCGGCAGCTACCATCACCATCAGCTGGGCAGCCCGTACTACTCCCGCGACGAGGACCTCGGCAGTCCCGTGATGCTCGAGGAGAGGGGTAGGAGTATGTCGACCGGGGGCGGTGGGGGCGGACATCACCGATCCAGAAGCGCCTCGAGACCCGCCATGTCCAGCTCGGCGGGCATGGTAGCGCGTTACACCAGCCTCGACCGTGCCTCCGCCGGCGTCCTCGATCATGATCGCGAATTCGTGCCGATACGCGAGCCGAGCCGCGAGCGTAGTCGCGATCGCGGTCTGTACCTCGAGGATGAGCTTTACGGCTCCAGGTCGGCGCGCCAGAGCCCGAATCCGCACATGCTGCGCGACAGCGGCGGCTACATCGGCGAGCTTCAACATCAGAACAACGATCTGCAGCGCGAGCTTGGCAACCTGAAGAAGGAACTCGAGCTGACGAACCAGAAACTTGGCAGTTCGATGCACAGCATCAAGACGTTTTGGAGCCCGGAATTGAAGAAGGAACGAGCGCTGCGCAAAGAGGAGAGCACCAAATACAGTCTCATCAATGAACAACTCAAGCTGCTCAACTCGGAGAATCAGGTCAGTCGAGAATGTCTGCTAACTCTGTGAATCGGTCGATCCGCGCGGTTTTAGCGCGTGTGTCATCTATCTATTTCTCTCTCTCTCTCTTTCTCTCTCTCTCTCTCTCCCTCTTTCTCTATGTGCGCGTATCGTTCGATTATCGGATTCCGTTGGTCTCGTATGAATACTACTACATATGTTAGCCCTCGAAGAGCCATTGCGGTCAAAATGTCGCGAAATGTCCATCTCGGAAAACCGCGGTAATGCGCGGAACGTCATCCTGACCGAGATCGTCGCGGCTGTCACGTCACGCGCGTCCTTGCGCCGAGGCCGTCCTCTCAGAATCAGGTCGCGGGACCCACCAACGTTAATCCCTTTTACAACTGCGAGGTTGCATACTTTAACACGTTTATTTGACCTAATTATCTTTAGTCAGCATAGTTAAAAAGAACACGCATGTAACGAGGATAATGGTAACTAGAAAATGGAATCCTTCGAGGAGAAATCGTTATCTTCCAGAAATTGTGTTCAACACTTGACGTAATTATTAGTTATGTATATGCAGATAAACGAATGGAAAAGATTACGTAAAAAATACAACATTCACGTAATATCAATCAAAAATTAGCTCATTTGATGAAAGAAATGCGACGAATATTCAAAAAAGAGATAGATTATTACTTGCTCTCCCCTTCTAGAAATTGTTGAATTATATATGACATTTTTAAAATAATATCCAAAAAATGGAGAAACTAAAAAGATTGCAAAAAGGTTTATTCGTACAACATCAGTCACGCAAAAGTGGGTTAAACCTCTTTTGAGGAGAAACCCTTTGACGAAACAACGCGATATTTTTACCAGAGCTTTAGATGCTTTTCTCTACAGAAATATGTGTTTCACATTCATATTACAAACAGAATGCGTATATCTTCCATATTTTGCGAAGAATTTTAATCTCAAAAATTGAAACATGTACTGCAGTCACGTTCGTTTATACTTTTCTGACATCACTTAGATTCGCGACATTAAGACGATCAAAACTTTTCATAGTGTATTATTCGAATTAAAATAGCGGTAGTTTATTCTGCAGTAATGTAGAATTGCAGAGTCTTATTATCGATTGGCTAAAAATGCAACACGAAGGGGGAGCCACCTTTATACCGATTTCGTGAGAGTCGCATAATCACTAGCGAAACTACCGAAGCTTTTGCAGTAATTAAACCACTACGATGGTACACGTATTTATCAAATTCCGTATCAATTAATGTGTGGAGTGTAGCGTAATGAGCGAATGTTGAATTAATCATTTATAATCGGCAACAAGTTTCACACACACACACACACACACACACACACACACACACACGTACACATATATTTTCTCATAACATCATAATTTGTTACATCGTAATTTGTTTTCATTTTCGTATACATCTATTTGATTTTACAATTATCTAATACATTACTTGATATTAATTTGTGAAATCAAGGTTGTGCAAGCTTTGCCAAATTTTATGATAGTAACAAAATTTATTACATTAATTTTAATGCACTGATTTTAATTATAGTGCCTCTATTATTTTTATCCAATTTATTCTTTGAATATTATTTAAAGATAAAAATTTATAAAAGATAAGATTTCATATTAAATGCAATTTTATGTTACTGAAATCTATGTGAATCACATTTTAAATGATTAGATGTTTGTTATAATATATATTATAACATAGGCAATGAAATTAATCAAATAACATATAGAATAATAATCCTCTTTTTTTCATACGAAAAAATTACATAGAAAACAATATTCCATGATTCATAATATATCTTTGTAAAAAATGAAAAAAGTTGGCATAAAATGCATAATTTTTTTATTATCGAAACAATTCAACATATATATCTACTTTTGATTAAATTAGTATTTCATCTATTTTGTGATCTCACAAACATAGCATATATTCGATATCTCTGTAAACTCGAGATTTGATAAGATCTTAACGAAAAATTACATCATATAAGATCTTTACATAAAAACGATGACCATGGCTTATAATCGGGAAAAATAATGTATCTCTCATACCTTTTTTCAATGAGATCAATGAAATTCATACTCAAAATTTACGAGCAATTTCATCATATATACATCATACACATTATGCGTACACGTGTATGTTTTTCAACGTGTATGTATACACGCGTTTCGCATGCACGATGGCGTCGAATGAGTCATTGCCCTCGCGAGTGAAAGAATTTCACAGAGTTAGATTTCTCTGGCCGGCTGCCCACGTTCATGCCTCTACCTCCGTTTACCCCTATGAAGTAAATGCGCGCGCAGTTAGACATTTCTCTTGTGACGTATGTATTCGAATGCTTACCGAGTTTACATCAATCCATTGTTCCCAACTTGTCTCGTATGAAATTCGCCATACGAGCAAATCAGGGGTGTTGTGAATTATACTGACAATGTTTTTTACATTACGATTCCATATTGCCTGTGTCAATCAATAATAATTGATCCGCTTTTCTTGTTAAGGAAATTGAAACGGATTAAAATTAAACTATATAATTATGTAAATAAATAAAAAGAATAATAATTTCTATTATTGTTATGATAATAACGAAAATTAATGAAAAATAAATATAACGCTAAATTTTTAAAGAAATATGTAAATATAATTTAAAAAGCACACGTCAAACATTTACCTCTTGTTCGAATATATATATTCGTAATTTTTGTATATCAAAATCAAAATGCTCGCATTTACTCCCATTTTGAATTTAAAAGCACAATTAAAAGTGCTTTTAATTAAACGCGGAATTTTCGTAAAATATTCCCGGTGATACCTATATTAATAATTTCATATGACAGCACTTTCTACCAGGAAATATTAAAGTTTAATTTCTACTTTACAAGCATTACATGCACCATTAATCATGCAATTTTATTTACTTTGATATTCTTCTTGAATCTCTCCGATCTATCATCACTCTCAAGGGCTCTACGAGAAATAGGGTATAATTTTCCGGAAAAGTCAGCAAAACCTGCTGAGCAAGCTAATATCGCTTTGTCGCGTCGTGAGAAGAAGAGTAACGCGAACGAAAAAGAAACGTTGAAAGAAATAAACCTCGTGTCGAGTGGAAGTCTTCAATCGATTCTCACAGCCTCTGGCGAATCCTTCCTGCGTCTTTCTTTTTCTTTCCATTAACATCAGGAATCTGAGAACGGTGAACGTGCAAAAAATGCATTAAACTCTCAGCGATGGGAATGGAAAGAAACGAGCGCGAGCGCGAAATTAGTTCTCCCATTTCGAGGTAGCGAGCGACTCGATATTAATATGATGTGCATGTACTTTATAAGAAATATCGTTTAACTTTTACAATCTTGTAATATTTTAAATTAATACTTTTCAATTAATATCTTGCGATAACACGAAAATTATGTTCTATCGAAAATTTTTACAACATAACATCACAATGAATCAAACATTACATGTATATACGTAAACATATCGAAAATGTTGACAATATCTAAATTTCGATAATTAGGTGTTACGATGTGGTTGATATTTAAAGCATTAATTGAATAATTATAATTATTTTCCTCTCTCTCATACATAAATTTGTAAATATTATATAGAAATATAGCGATATGCATTATAAATGTTGTGGATAAACAATATTAAAAGTTATATATATTGTATTAACAATTACAAATTATATTACCAATGAAATTATTTGATTAGCAAAAATTTACAAAATATTATTTTTAATAATATCTACAATGTTATAAAATAATTTTAAATTCAATTGATTGATAATGATATTAATAGTCATTCAATATTAAAAAAAATATCTATTCAATATTTAATAATAAAAAAAATAATATAAATTACGTTTATTTACGTCACAAATTTTGTTGAAATTATTATTAGAATATTACATGCGAGTTAAGCTTATTTGTCTTTGCATCATAGGATCTCTCGTTATATTTCTAATTAATTATCTAATTGCAGGAATGTCATCTAAATTAATACAAAACCATATTTGCCTCTTGCAAAATTTATTCATCTTGTGTGACGAAATGCAGACTAAGTTATATTGCTATGAAGATGAGATCCTATCCTGTTTCCGGCTAAATTTATAATCTTTAAAATTTATTATCTTCTCCGAAGATTTGATCTTCTGATAAACTCTTGGCTAATAAAAAAAAATTATAAATATACTTTTAATCTGAATAGAGATTTTTTTCTGCAATATACATATATGTATATGTGTGTGTATGTGTGTGTCATGTCTCTTTCTTTTTTTCCCTTTTCTTAATTTTTTACATATTACACTTACGTTAATTAACTTACATTAAAATATGTAATCACGAAATTAAAAATTCTTTTTGTTTTCAATGATTTACTTAAATGAATTTTATATTGAATATTTATTCAAAATGTATTTTAACTTCTACATATAAATTCATCAATTTTTATCTTACTATATTTATAAAAATACCCCAAGTTAAACGTCATTCTGATATAATTTACATATCTAACATAATATGTATAAAACATTAAATTATATTTTGTAACGAGATAAACAGATAAATCTCTGTATAATAGAAAATCTAATTTATTTACAAATAAATACAAAATAATTCTCTATTTATGTTGTTCAAATGTAAATGAAAAATAAATGTAAATAGGCGAGATGAATAGTTAATAATGAGCGAATTGTATCTGTTCTCTATCTTGTGTCATTTCTTTGGATGTGAAGCTTACGCTGTACGAATATAAGGACCGTGCCATGTGAATCTGTTCGTGTCTAAGTGCCGACAATACCGTTCCTCATCTCATGAATGTTCACACGCCACTGTAATTCATTTGGAGTTGCAGCTGCTCTACAGGGCCGCGTCTATTATGAAGACGGCCGACTTAGGAAGGAATAGTATTGTGCTGTCACCGAAAGAAAAATGCAACATAACACAGCACTTGTAACTGGTATTCTTAATTATTCTTTTATTATTCACA